TATTTTCTGTCCCTTCTATTATGTTACTGCCTAACAAAGTTTTTATGACTTGAGGCAAGTTTTTCTTTGTTAGTAAGTTTAGTGCTTTTAGATTAGTACTAATTTTTATTTTTTCCTGCTGCTAGGTATTAATATCTTTTAATTTAGCTTTAGTTAGATTAGGAAGAACCTGATTTGGCAGTCTTATATTGTGGTTCTGGTCCTAATGACTAGTACGACAGGTTGTACTTAGGTACTCTTAGAAGTAGCCAGGTAATATCAAGCTTAGAAAATTAAGTAGAATTTTTCTGTAAAGTTCAATATATAACTAGTAGGATAACTATATGTTAACAACCTAATAAAGTTTTATGATGAGACTGTCAAAGGAAAAAAAAAAAAATAGTTATAATTGTAAAGTTTTAAAGGTCATCAAAACTTTTTATTACTTTTATATATTCTGAGTTTGTTTTTTCAAGTATTAAAAGGTTAATATTAATATTTTTTTTTCTATATCAATAGTGATATTGTTCTAGAATTGCTAGTACTTCTTTTTGCTATTTGGTTTTCTATTTGTATATTTTAAATGATATCTTGTAGGCTAGTTAATATATACTTGTTTGTAGTTTGAATTGTTATCATATTGTTTATAAATATAACAGTTATAATTGTTATAATTGTAGCTATATTTTCTATTGTTTTTTGCTATTATAAGTCTATTCTATCTGTATATATATGTTGTAAGTAGATTCGGAATTCTGTAGGTTCCAAATCCACTTAAGTGGATACCGAATCTACTTAATTTGATTTGGAATCTTAAATCAACATGGTGGAAATAGAATTTTTAAAAACCATCGATTAAAATTTAGTTATTAATAAAAATTATTTATTAAAAAATATATAACTAAATAAAAATTATATATTATTTATTTTTACATTTTGTACTATGTGGATGACAACTACTTCCACATGGCATACTAGAGCGTTTACATTTACAATTATTATTTTTGCACTCGCTTTTACAATTACAATGTACTCCAGTTACGGTTGACATTGATTGCATTCTTGCAGCTTCACGTACGCTAATAACTTTATTTTCACAAATTTCAAGCTCTTCATATTTGGTTGGACCCAGTGACATAAGTTCATTCGCATTAAAAGTTACATCAAGAATTCCATTCTTACATTGCAAACGGTACATCTTGTCGGGTAATTCTTCAATTACTTTACAAGGTAAAGTGTGCCGATCAACATGGTTACGATCTATTTTCGGAACTGCGATACAGACGTATTTGTTAATAGAATATTCAGGTTTGTGTTTGTTTTTCTTTAACATTTGGTTTTTCATTCGATCCCGGTAGCTATCAAGTGATTTATTTGCATATTCGCGATAAAGTTGGTGTGACTAGTATGTATCAAAAAAAAAAAAAAAAAAAAAAAAAAAAAAAAAGATATATATGATATAATAGTTTTAAAATAAATAATGCATTACATGCATAATATAAATTTATACATTATTGTTTTTTGGCATCGTTAAATTTGGTAATGATGATTCAGTTAAATATGATTTTGAAATTTTTGGACTTGGTGAAAGTTCAAATGAATTCAGTGAAGATTCAAATGAAATTGGCAATGAAAGTTCGAATGGAATTAGTGATGAAGAATTAATTGGAATCAGTAATGAAGGCTCAAGTAGATTTGGCGATGAAAGTTCGTATAGAATTGGCGATGAAAGATCAATTGTAATCAGCGATGAAGGCTCGAGTGGGATTGACGATGAAGATTTGATTGGAATTATTGATGAAGGTTCGATTGGAATTGGTGATAAAGATTCAATTAGAATTGGTGATGAAGGTTCAAATGGAATTGAAGATGAAGGTTCAGGTAGGCTTGATGATGAGATTTCAGTTGGACTTGGAGATAGGGATTCAGTTGAAACTAGTAAATATGATGAATATTTCGTTAATAAAATTTAGAAATATAAAGATTTGAAAAATAATTAAATTACCATTATTAGTATCTTCGAAAAAATTATCAGGTAACTCTTCCTCATCTACTATATTTTGGTTATTTAAATCTTCAAGTATTGAAAAATGTTGAATTGGATCTTGCCCAAATACGAGTGAATATGGAGATTTTCCAGTAGGACAACTTGTTTGTATATTCATTGCATCTAATAATAATAATAATAATAATAATAATAATAATAATAAAATTATTTATAATTATAAAATAAAGACTATAAATACTATACCTGATACATACGTATGATTAAAGGTAATCCTTCGGTCCAATTATTTGTAGAATTATCTTCCATCCACTTTCCAAGCTTAACTTGTAAAATTCCATTAGCCCTTTCAACCAATCCTTGTGATTGCGAATGTCTGGGACGTCCATTTATGATGCGTACACCAGGCCAAAGGGTCATTAATTCAGAAATAAGTTCAGCTGTAAATTCTTTACCATTGTCTGATTGTAAAATCAGAGGTGCTCCAAATACGACAAAAATATCATATAGAAAGATTGCCATCTCGGAAGCACGCTTGCTAGTAAGACACCGGGCCCATGAAAAATGTGTAAAATGGTCATGGGCGTGACAAATATAACTATATCCATTTATAGGTTGGAACGTTAATCCTATTAAATCGACTTGAACACGGGACAGAAACTTTGATGCTACAATTGGTTTTGCAACAAGAGAATTAGGAAATAATTGGTGTGTAGCACAGGTTTTGCATGCCCTGCAAAATTCTCTGATAAATGATTGTGGAATATAGTTATATTGTTTTCCAATCTAAAAAAAAAATTTATTAATTAGTGCTGCATTGCTGAAGGTGTGCCATATTAGGTTTAGCAAAAAACGAATCCGTTTGTTGCTAAATTAAATAAATAAAAACTTACAACGTCCCACATTTTGGATGCTCCAACATGTTTTAAAACGCCTACATGAATCTTACATAATATATCGTAAAGACGATTAAAAGGGCATATGGTATGTGTCAATTCTGATCTATTTCCATTTTTCGTAACAGTAATAATTTGAGTAATTGGATTTGTTTCGGTTCCTAATTCTCGAAGTTGAAAAGAAGTTTTAATCCAATGTCGATCCTTAGGGGTTCCCAAGTTTACATTATTAGGTTCGTGAAGTACAGAAATAATAAGGTCGTAATCAGCTTGTGAAATAAATGTTTTACGATGTCTACTTAATGATTTTCCTTCAAGATATTTATTAATTAAATCATTAAATGTTTGTCTTGAAATAAATGTGTATTCTTCTGGAGTTGCCATTTTTCGAATAAAAAAGAATTAAAAAGATAAAATAATCATTTATTCGATTACATTTAAATATATTTTAAATACGTATAATCATTGATTAATCAAATGATTTGGGTAATCATTAAATTCTATCACCACATAAGTCATTTTAAGATCCGATTCCCACTTTAGTGAATTCGGAACCTACAGAATTCCGAATCCACTTACAACATATATATGAAATAGGTATTATATTCTAAATAAAAGTAGTATTATATTTTTATCTCATCTTGTAGCTTTTTTGTTATAATTGTAAAGCTTAAATTTTTGTAGTTTTTAATAGTATCTGCTATTATTATTAAATCTTATTATACTTCTCTATTTTTTTTTCCTTTTCAGCAAGCTATGCCTTATCATTTATTCAATGTAATTATAAAACTACAAGGGTTACAAATGCCTAACTTAACAACCAAAGAAGGTAGTACATATCAACGTGTAAATATCAATAGTAAAACTTGACTAGTTACCTCAAAGGTACCTATTTGCAACTTGCTATAATGTAGTTTTAATTCAACTTAAAGTCTAGACTAGTTTATTCCTTCCTTATTGGTATCACTATATGAGACTACCTAGCTTGTCATAACTTCTTACCTATATAGTTAAATATTACTAAACTGATAATACTCTTCTGTATAGCGAAAAGGAAAAATAAAAATACTATATATAAAGAACTGTATTATCCTACAGCATATACTATATAAGATAATAAATATGTAAAGAAAAACAAAAACAAAAAAACAAAAAAGAAAAGAAAAGAAAATATTGCTCAAGTACTATCTCTATAGTTCTCGAGACTTTTGTAAAAATTGTATAAAGTGTTGATACTACAACATACTTTATATCTCTAAATTATTAATCTCTGTTTTGCTACTAAAGAGTGTCTAAATTCATTACTAACTGTACTTGCTTAATTACATGTATCATTGTTTACTTTTGGGTTGTTTGTAAATACGTAGTTTTCACTAATTTGGATATGGCATTGTTAATCCTTTTTTGGGAGTAGGCTGAATCCTCACAAATGAGAAAAAATGAAAATCCAAAAGACCAAGAGTGATATGTAGGTACAAAAAACCAAGTAGAAGTAAGTGAGTGTAAAAGTATTTGTTCTAGTACAAATACTGTAATATGCTTCTTCTTTCATCTCTCAACTTCAAACTTCTATAGCTTCTTCTATTTAACTTTAATACTCTGCAAGACAAACTTTTGACTAAAATATTAGAACTATTCACTTTAGCTTTCTGCCACTTATTGTCTTAAAGGTCTTATAGGACTATATATCACATACTTCTGTTTTGACCTAATATTTTACTAGGTTTCCTTGAGTTTAGTACTTGTTTTATAAAAAGTTTTTTGCTCCAGTATTTGTTTTGGTAATTAGCAGAAAGAGTTGATTAAGTTGTATGTATTTTTTTTTGTTTTATAAAATTAACTAATTTTCACCTCAAGTGATAATCACCTATGATTATTATTATAATGTTATATAATATAGCTATACAAAATAAACAAAGAAATTTTTTTTTTAACTTTAAGGTTAGGCCTAGAGCTTGTATTAGAGTTAGGGTTTAGCAAGATCTATAGTAAAATTTTGCGAGGAATTTTTTTACTTAGAGCTTCAAATGTAGTTTAATAAGCAAAATTTTGAGATAATTTTATTACAGATGATAATCATCTGTGATATAAATTAGCAAACTTCTTTTTTTATAAATAAATTCATAATAATTATATTATAATAATAGAAACTATGATATAAAATATATAAAATGATCAATATATGTTTAGAGCAAGAAATCAACTCTCTCTGTAAATCATTTTGACTATTGTCAAAGCTAAAGAAAAAGTGAATTTTTCACAGAAATCTTACTAAGAACAAGCCTTAGAGCTACTAGGAAAAAAGAAAGAAAACATAAAAATACAGATAGTATATTAAGAAGAAAAAAGAAAATAGTAACAACCTAAAGAACCTCAGAAGGTGTTTACTCAAAAAATCGATATGAAAAACTTTTTTCTCAAAAATTTGGAGATTTGGCCTAACCCTGAAGTGCTGATCAGTTTACGTTATACAAACATATAAGAAAAACAGAAAAACAAACAAATGTGTAAGCAAATACTAACAAGATGTGTCATATGACAACTAATAGAAAGGTAGCATATAAGTCTTAAACTAGAAAATTCACAGGCAAAAAGGAAAATTTACAGAGAATTTAGAAAAAAGCACGAGGTCTTAAAATCAAATAAAGTTTGAGGTCTTAGAACAAAGATAGTATTAGAAAAAATGTGAAGTACAGAAAGCTCTAGATATATTATCTAAAAGTTAACAAAAGAATATAGGCAAGAAATTATCCAAGAAGGCAGTGTGTCAGTACTTAGATTAGCAGATCATTTTGATGAAATAGTAGCAAAAGCTATAAATGTAGATAAGAATATTATTACTTTAGCGAGGCAATAGCATACTGTATTAGAAAGGGCTGCTTTTACAGAAGGAGTAGACAAAGTTAAAGAAGTCTTGAAAAGAGAGCAAACACTAGTAATTATACAACTAGAAACTGCAAACGAAATAACCAAAGAAGTAGAAATGAGAACTAAAGAGGTATCGTTAATAGAAATAGAGAGTATAAGTGAAGTAGAATCAGATAAACCTACAGGACAGAATAAGCAAGATAAAGAAAAATCAGATAGCATAACTAGTATAAGGGAAAAAAGTAAAGCACTAGAGATTATAGAAGATATCCAACTTGCAGAAAGTAGTACAGAAGTCAACTTATATAAAAACAAAATAGAAGATAGACTAGAATAACTAGCTGAAATAGAAAAACTAAGACATGACAATACATCTCTAGAATATAGCATATGGGCACCCAACTCAGAAGCATGTAAAGACATAGGAGAGATTAAAGCAAAGATAGTAGCAGTTAAGATTTTAGGACATAATGCTGAACAAAAAGAAAAATCAATCAGGTGGTCACTTAGAGGACACAAGCATATCAAAGCAATCTAAGAAAAATTTACAAATAGGAACCAATGGTGTGTTATATACTTTGATTGTAGAAAAGGATATGAAGAAGCCAAGTCAAGATTGGAAAAAAAGAAAGATGAATTTGACAAGCTAAATCTAATACTCGAGGAAGAGATTGAAAAAGAAAATATAAAAAAGGAAAAGACTTCACAAAACAAAAAAAAAGAAAGGGATACAAGAGAGATTCAAGCAAAAAAGGAGCTTGAAGAAATACAAAAGAAAAGGTCTATATTATATGATCAGACTGAAAAAGGTGAATGCTCAACAAGTAGTAAAAAGAGGAAAGAAATAATACCTAACCAAAGTGATGAAAGAAAACTAGCTTCAGTTAAGGATAAAGAAAAAAGAAGAATATATGAACAAGAAACTCTTCTAAGAGGAAAAGAAGATCTAAACAACAATAGCAACCTAGCTAAAGAAAGAGAATAACATCAGTATAAGGAAGAAGCTATTACTATATGGGATATACCCTATTATATATTAAGATTACAAGTCTTCTTCGCAATAAAGCATTTAGAACAGGTCAAAAATATTGAAATAATTAGAGAAAATTATGGAAAAACAAGAGCAGAGGTTACTTTTAAAGAAAGAAGCAGTTTCATACAAGGAATTGAAGCTTGAGTTATTTCTCTTACAAATGATCTCTTAGTATGTATAACACCAGGACCAAACAGAAAAGAGATATTAGAAAACTGAAAACAGTTTGTAGCAAAGCTATTCAATATCCCACAAAATGTAAATAAAGTACTACTGTTTAGACAACTAAAACATACTAGCACAAGCATAGTACATGTTTTTAAAAATTCAAATGAGAACAACAAAGGTTATGTGCTAGTATCTTTTAGAAACCAACGAGATATGACTCAGGGAAAAAAGTATTTTGTGAAATACTATGATACTAGACTCTTTTGAGAAGTCTCTAAAGTTGAATCAAACGAAGTATACTATACTGAGAAAAGATACAAGCAAAGACTTGATACTTATGAGCCAAATACAAGAAATTACAAGAGACAGGAACTACCTCATGATAGATTAACAGCTCCTTATAGAATTAAAAAGAAACTCTCAAAAGAAGAAAACAGGCCAGAAAACAAAAGATATATGAAGCTAGAAAATCAAGATAAAATCTATATAGAAAAAAAGAAAAAAATAGAGCAATACAAAGAAAATGAGTATAAAGTCTCTTTCAATGATATAGCATA